CAAAAAAGAGTAACCCTGAAAACTCAAAGCAGCAAGAGGATAATCCCCTGAAGATCAGGTACAGATACTGTTTCAAAGCTTTATTATAACATTTTACTTAGAATTTTTATAAAAGGAAATACAGGGATTTTGTATTAAACTCTTTGTTGATCAATTTGCACACAACCATGCTCTTCTCCAAGCTGCTTCATGGTTCATGTCTTCAGGATCCGTCAATTTCTGGCTTCCCATTCATTGTGTAGGTGAAACAAGATTCGAGTGACGATTCGAGTGACGAGGCATAGCATCACCTGTGAACTCATTTGTATAAAGTAGACTTGACTTCAACTTTTTGCAAATTTGGCAAATTTTGGCCACTTAGCATCAGGCCTTGATGGATAAAAAACTTTCCACTCAATAGGCCAAGCATTGTGGTTTCGTCTTCCATCACTGTTCACCAAACTTTCTTATGTGCTGATGTCACTCAATGCATTGTGTGCAATTTCTTCATGGCTGCAAATGATTTAGATTCATCAGTGTTACCGGTGTGCCAGAAATGAGGGAACTGAGAAAGGTGTGATGAAATGCGTTATTCTTTTAAGTGTGTTTCCCCCCCCCCCCTGTAATTAATTAATCAAAATTAATGCATTAAAGTCCCAGCCCTAAACAAATATTACATTTTGTCAACTACATCAGACGTCAATACCGTCTGGTTTTGTGTTTGACAGAGACGACAAGTGAGAAACTTGTATTTTTCAAACACCAGCTGAATCTCATGCAGTAGTGTCTTATTTGTGTGTTACAGGGAGGTTATCGACAAAGTAGTGGAACGTAAGCAAGAGGACAATTCCCAGAATATCAAGTAAGGATAATGTGTCGAAATCTTACTTTTAACATTTTAGACATTTTTGAAAAGAAATAGAGGGATTACACATCTGACTTGTCTGTGTGTTACAGAGAGGTCATCGACAAAGCAGCAGAAAGTAACTCTGACATCTCAGAGAAGCAAGAGGACAAACCCAAAACAATCAGGCAAGGATATTGTCTCATAACATTCTAACACTTTAGTCAGAATTGTTACATTTTTTTAAATTTTTTTTAAAGTAACACTGTACAAAATTTGACGTTTTAGTTTGTTTTGTAGAAATTTCGAGCAATTGAATGAAAAACAAAATGGCTTCACTGTACAAAAAATGGTGAATTCTGTCAACTTCGTCAGACATCAACTCTGTCAGTTTTAAATACCAACTGAATTCTGTGCAATGGTGTCTAATTTTGTGTGTCACAGGAAGGTCAGAAAAAAAGTAGTAGTGCGCAAGAAAGAGGACAATTCCCAAAATATCAAGTAAGGATATTGTCTCAAAGCCTTATTTTTAACATTTTAGTTTGAATTTTTAGAAAAGAAACACATGAATTAGACACCTGACTTGTTTATGTGTCTGTGTGTTACAGGGAGGTCATTGACAAAGCAAAAAAGAGAAACCCTGACATCTCAAAGCAGCAAGAGCACAATCCCCTGAACATCAGGTACAGATATTGTCTCAAAGCCTTCCTTGTAACATTTTAGTTTGAATTTTTCTAAAAAGAAATAAAGGGACTACACACCTGACTTTTCTGTGTGTTTGTGTGTTACAGGGAGCTCATCAATAAAGCAGTACAACGTTATTCTCAAACCTGGAAGAAGCAGGAGGACTATCACCAAAAGTTCAGGCAAGGATATTCTCTTTGGTAAAACAGGATAGCTGACAGGGAAAAACAATGTACAAGAGAACAAAAAACACTTTGGAAGTTGGTGAAGCTGCAGATCAGAGATGTGTAGCTCCTGATCCAGACGACAAAACGCTATCTACATAGACAGAAGACATAAAGTGAGACTGCATCATGGGAAGTTCCCCAGAAGTCTAGACCTATTGCAGCATAACTACTTGATGGTTTAGGTGACCCTGAAACTATACACTTTACCACACTTCTAATCTTTAAAGTAGAGAGAGTGTCTTCCTTATAATAGGGAATTACAACAGTCCAGCCTAGAAGTTACAAATACATGGACAATATTATGCAGGTGAAAGAAGGCCATTTACAGGTGTGCTTTAACTGGTGTGAGTTGATGAACATATCCTGGTCAACAATAACTCCAAAGTTCCTCACAGTAGAACTGGAGGCCAAAGCAATGCCATCTCGAGTAACTACCTGGTTAGATACTGTATTTCTGAGGTGTTTACGACCAAATACTACAACTAAAACTACAAGTCATCCAGGTTTTGATGTCCTTCAGTCATGACTGGAGTTTGACTAGCTTTTAAGTTTCATCTAGTTTGTTAGATAAATATAGGTGAGTGTCATCTGCATAGCGATGAAAGTTCATGCAGTGTTTCCTAATAATATTGCCTAATTGAAGCATGTAGAAGGTAAATGACATCAGTTCTTGTACAGAATCCTGTGGAACTCCGTAACTAACTGGAAGAATCATCAATAATGTGAAATGAATGGAAATTATCTGACAACTATGATTTAAACGGACATGGCAGGAGGTGTAGAAATAAAAACTCAGGTTATTGCAGAGGAACTGCATGGTCACATATCATCTTAAATTCATGTGATTTATTGTAAAACAAGGAGACTTCACGTGAATTACTGCTTTCACTCATCATGATCCATTTATGGAATAAAATCAGCACATAAACATGGAATTGTTCTAATGTATTGCCTAATATGATATGTCAAATGTTTTTTAATCAGCAAATAACAAGTCATTGTGTTTAGCAACTCATCTTACTGCTCCATCAGTGTCAACAATGTCCTTGTGGTTCAACAGATCTAACCTGAGCAGTGAGTGTCATGGATTGGACAACGCCATAATTACCCAGACCAACACTCCAGTGGGATCAGAGATAGTTTTCAATGGGGTAAAGAAGTCTCTGCAGGTGACTCCAGAAATCATCGACATCTTTGCAAAGGTATGGTATTTATCAGTCATGAATACAGGACCTGCTGCCTGTTTGACGTCTTGAATGTTCCTTAAAAAATATATTTTTGTTGAACTATTATAACTTTATATACGTCCTACTTTCACTTTCACTTTTTAAAACCTTAAAATCCTTTTTTTTTTTTGTTAGTTTTTTTTTTTTACAGTTGTAAAGACAGAGTCATAATAACTATATAATACGTTTTTGGCCACTGACAAGAGTCTGTTGCATTACCCATCACGGTGATTACAACTGCAGTAAACATGGGAATATCTATTAACCAAAATTGACTTCACTTTTATTATTTTGTCCTCCTATTTAGATCAACTCCATTTGCATTATCTTGTAATCGTCCTCAGCTATGTGCATACATTTAACACATCTGGACACTGAGAATTAGATGGTAAAACCTGAAAATAGTGAATAACCAGTAATGACCTCCATCCCTCTCTGCCTCCAAGTTGTACCTGGTGTTACTGAAAGGATCTTCTGGAGATGTTTTGTTTGTTCTAAAGCATTTGCACTGAGTCTCGTGAAACTTATCCTAAAAGGTATGAGGAAAAGTTCTTATCTTCACTTTACCTGTTGGACTTTTACCTTCTTTCTTCATAAAAGAGGACACTGAATATAATTACATGCAAAGATGCTTCTCCTTCTTTCACCCTTGGTGAATGTAGCCTTGGCCAGGAGAAGTTGATGTCTGTAGACGGTGATTTTCAATCATGAAGTGTTTCGAACCTTAATCGTAACACCCTGGTGGGTCAGCAGTCGATGCCAAGTCACTTCCCATCTCATCCTCCTGAGGGGTATACTACGAAGCAAGTTTGACATAGCCAGGCTTTCTTTGTGTCAGCTTGCTCAACAAAAAGTTCCAGCCAGAGATTACCCTCAACTGAGAATCTGTATCTGTATCCTGTATAGGAAATGATTTGGTTAAAGGGAGACGTCCTTTCCAGCTCATTTAAATCCAAAACTCTGAACATAACCTGCTCCCGGCCAAGTTAATTCTACAGCATCAGTTACCATGGAAATCTAGCCAGGTAAAACGAGAGCCACCTTTGTGATACTGAAAACTCTGACTTTAGGCTCAACATACCTCAATAGCCAACTAATCTTGTTTTGTAGTACAGCCCTTTGGCTTCCAGCTTAATTCCCCTCTCCTATTCCATAACAGCAAAAGGCTCTTTTTGCTGCCTCCCGTATCCTGTGTGTCACAACTCAGACACAGAGACTCAAGTGCAGACAAGGACCAAGCAAAAACTAGGCGTTTCACAATCAAAAGTTTTTATTACAATAAATATATTTACAAACAAACACAATATATACACAATATATACACAAGCGGCCAGTGAGTCAACAGAACTACACTTCCGATTATGACAGGAACAAATCCGGGGTCAAAGGTATATTAATCGAAACTATGGGGACCTCGAAAGGCAAGGCAGAATTACTAAAGGTGAACAGAGTACAGACAAAAGTTACACAAGCAAAAGCAAACTAAATAAATATACGAAACCGGGACTGGTATCACCAGAGGAACTGCCACTTCCCCAGACCAGAGGTGGAGGGCATGACACTGCAAGCTGCTGTCTTTCTCTCCCTCCCTGTTATTCCTATGGCTGTGAGCATTCCCCACACTGGCTGTTCGGGGGATCTCGACTGCGTACAACCATGCTTGCCAACCTTTTCCCCTGCAGTCATCCAAGAGGTCCTGGTATTTTGTGCTCTTCCTTTCGAAGGCTTAATTACAAGCGATCGACATTTGGTTTGTATCATAAAATTACACTTTATCAGTGGCGGGCCATGCGTTTTACATCGAGGCCAGGCCTGGCCAACCCGCGGCTCGCGAGCTGCATGCGGCTATTTGCCTGGCTTCATGCGGCTCTTACGTTCATGTCGAATTTTGTGTTCGTGTGTGTGTGTGTTTTTTTAATGTATATGTGTATCTGCATTTTCTTAGCTTGAGTTCATTACGGTATTATCATGTTACGCACATGTACGTTGTTGCACGTTTCGGGAGGGAATCCAATATTGTTGAATATTGTGTCAAGCTCGCTCTCAACATGGCAGGGAAAAAATGCACAGCAAAATGAAAATATGAAGATGAACACAGGATGTTTTTCACAGAATGGGAGAGTATGTTTTTTTTGTTGAACGTAATGGCAAGCCATTCTGCCTTATATGCCAGGTGTCATTAGTGCATTTCAAGGCTTCAAATCTTCAGCGACACTTTAGCTCACTCCATGCTAACCTCGACCAGGAACTTCCAATGGGGACTGAGCTTCGCAAGCACAAGTTGGTCACTTTGAAAAGTGAGGCAGAAAAGCAGACACAGTTGTTCCAAAAATTTACGAAGCACTCAGAGACTGTAGCGCTTGCATCGTATCAACTGGCTTGGAATATTGCATTGGCTAAAAAGTCATACAATGAAGGGGAGTTCCTTAAAAAATGCCTCAGTGACGTTGTTAAAATCTTGTCTCCTGAAAACGACAGACTAAAACGAATGGTATCACACATCTGACTGTCCCGCCACACTGCTGAACACAGAATAGTGGATATTAGCATGGCTATTGAATCACAGTTGCAGTCTGACATTCAAGCATGTGAGTATTTTAGTGTCGCATTGGATGAGTGTTGTGACATACAAGACAAGCCTCGGCTGACAATATTTGTGTGATCTGTGTCAAACGATTGTGTGATCAAAGAAGAGCTCCTTCATATTGTGCCATTAAAAGACAGAACCCGTGGCATAGATGTGAAAAAAGACAATGATGGCTGCATTTATGAAAGCAAATCTGCCCATACCGAAGCTAACTACAATAGCCACTGATGGAGTGCCAGCCATGATCGGATCTGTGAACGGGCTTGTTGGGCTGTGCAAAGCTGAGTTTTGGAATTATGTTCATCGTCAACCCGTTTAATGCGGAGACCGACTGTTTGAAAGCCCCGCTAGTCACAGATGAGGCTGCGGCTGAGTTAGAGATGATCGATCTTTGTGAAGAAGACCAACTTAAACCTGCTTTTAGGGAAGGGACCACTGAGTTCTGGAAAAGTGTGCCAGTGGAAAAATACCCCAATGTCAAGCAGGCTGCGCTTAAGATACTTTCAATGTTTGGGTCAACATACGTCTGCAAGTCTATGTTTTCTACCCTGAAACATGTCAAATCAAAGCATCGGTCTGTTCTGACAGACACACATGTAAAAGAATTGCTTAGAGTGGCAACAACTGACTATAAACCAGATTTGAAAAGGATTGTTCATGGCAAGGAATGCCGGAAGTCCCACTAAGCAAAATGCATGCTAAGAGAAAAATGCTATTGTAAATTGTTATATTTTGTTTTCGAGACTTGGTTGAACTGAGAGTTAGTGTGTGTGTGAAACAATACACACAATGTTCATTGTTGAAAATGATTGGCCACAAACCACCTCTTACACCGTCATTATGACACCACAGCTATAGAAACCATCAGTGTTATGCAGAAAGGCAGCATAGCAGGACGTTGTATTGCAGACAGGTATCTCATAGACAGAATGAATGCCATGACTAAAGCAAGAAACCCAGTTACAACAATTCAACAAGTCTCCTTTCACACACACTAAGTTAGATAGAATGTACATATACTATAAATATTTTTATGTTGTAATGTGTTTTCCGTTGTTGTTGACTCCAGGAGAGTCCTTTCTCAAAAAAAACATGGGACACTTGTGCCGTTGTTGGAAATGGTGGGATCCTGACCAACAGCAGCTGTGGAAATGCGATCGACTCAGCTCAGTTTGTCATCAGGTGAGAAAGATGTCCAACGTAAAGGACTGGCAGCAGGAAGCCACAAAGTTAGCATGGAAAGTCCACATAGCAATACTTTCTTTGCTGTTTGTTCAGGTGCAACCTCCCTCCTTTGGGAAACGGATACGAGAAACATGTTGGTGTCAAGACTGATTTTGTGACAGCAAACCCGAGTATCTTCGCAGAAAAGTGAGGAAGAGAATTGATTTTGTCATCCTAAATATAAAACATTCCCTTTGTTTTGTTGCTTCACATCAGCCCTTTATTTACAGTTACGGGGCTCTGATGGAAAGCCGCCGTCCATTTGCGGAGAGTCTGCACAGCTATGGAAACTCCCTGCTGCTGCTTCCTGCATTCTCCTATAGTACCAACACTCCTGTGTCTCTGCGGGCTTTCTACACCATCAAGGACTTTGAGAACACTATCAAACCCGTCTTCTTAAACCCCGAGTACGTGGAGAGTCTGAACTTGTTCTGGCACTCTTGGGGACTCACTGAAGTGCGGCTCAGCACTGGCTTCACCATGGTCAGCCTGGCGCTGGAGCTCTGCACCAACGTTGATCTGTATGGATTCTGGCCCTTCAATACCCACCCATACGGCTTCCACAACCTTAACAATCACTACTACGATGACAGACAACCTAAAAAAAAGGTCCACGCTATGCCGACTGAGTTTGAGCTCCTGCTGCAGCTGCACAGTCAGGGCATTCTCAGGCTTCACCTGGGAGACTGCCAACCAGGTGGAACGTAGTTCCCAGGAACAAACATCACTGGAGCCCAGTGCTTTTATTTATTTTTTTGGCTTCAGAATGAAGCAAGTCACTGAGACACTTCACATGAAGCAACAGATTTATTTCAGCTGATGAACAGATTCTCTGCTGTGAGAATATTATTTAAATTATTTAGAATATCATTTGCAGAAGCAGCATTTAGCGTCATAAATTTTTTAATTCTTCATTGTTTTCCGTTATAACAACCTGTTTGCTGAAGTAGGTGAGACACCATTGAGTCCATTTTGTGCAGAAGAGTCATATGATGCGGTAAACGTCCTCTTTTACGTGAAAGTGCACAGAAGTAAAAAATGTGAATTCACAAAGAAAGTTGAGAACCACCTTCAGGTACTTGCTACCTCTGACTAGAGTTGTAGTTTTAGTTGAGCCGACTTACACAAAGAAAATCTGGGTGTGTCAAACTGGAGTCTGAAGGTAGTTATTTAGATTTTACTGGGAGGTCTTCGTGAGGATCCATGTTGTCGTGTCTTATGTTAGTCACTTACTCATGACAGCTTTTGGATCAAACTGAATGTCTTGAAAGAAATCAAAAACATTCTTTACATGACGATTGTTTGTTTAATGAAAACACCAGCACATTCATTGTTAAAACACAGTCATACACTTTTAGAAACACTGGAGGGTGACCGCACAGGGAAAAGTACTGTACTGCCACATAGTGGCAACATACAGGTATTGGTACAATGTTAGTTTGGAAACAAGTGCTTTATAAGTTGGTGTTAAATTAATGCAGATTTAACTTTATTTGATGGAAACGAAACTGTGAACTTTGTGTGAACACTAAAGCACTTTTTCTTATTTAGCACAGACTTGGGTGGGTCTCAGAGTCATGCTGACAACACTGAGGTCTGAACAGGTTTATTCCATGTTAAATCATCAGGGTCTTCTGCTCTGCCATCTCTGATTTGCTTGAAAATTTTCCATCATCGAAAATTTGAAATGGTGTTTGAAAAAATACATAAATAAATATTGATATATCAAGGACTTTCTTAGATGTGTATAGATGTGTATATACTGCACCAACATTTGTTTTTCTTCTTTACATTTATGATTGTGTACACTGTTTGAACATCGTCATAAGATAAGGCAGAGCAGGATGTCAGTCAGTCTGACAGGAACAGGCTGAAGAGGACGTGTGTGTAGATGTTTAAGGGAGAGGAAATCTGAAATCACAGACCGACAGGTGAGGTTAGCAGAAGGGTTGAGGTATGAGGGGACAACTCTTGAAGTCACGTTTATCTCTGATAATCATCGTCCTCTGCTTGGGGAGTCTGTTCACCTCTCTGATCTGGTACAAGTAAGTGTGAAATTACCCTTAATCATTTTTTATAATTAGATTGACATGCTGACTACTTGTACCATTTGTATTTTCTGTCATTGTGTTTTTTTGTTTCTCTTTTTAAAAATATTATAACTTAAAATATTATAATTTCTTTTTTATCATGATTATTATTCATGTTATTATTCATATTATTATTTTGTTGTTCTGCCTTGTCATGGTTGTTTCCCTTCCAAAATAATTAATTACGCTGTTATTTCTCTGTCTCTACAAATAAAGAGGGGATTTCAGGGGTTAAGGAGGATTTCCTTATGTTCTTTTTGAGGACAAGGAGTGCTTCTGTTTAAACACAAGAACCATACTGTATAATATGTATGTACAATGTACATGTACAAACTGTTATTCAAATTCAGTCATAAACAAAATTAAAAGCAATTAACTATACACCACAAGAACGCAAACACTCAGACTTACAGCTTTGTCATTTAACGAGTCAGTCCTCGGCTGCTGTCTGTCCCAGCCAGAGGACTTATTAACTTGGGGGTCATATGTAATTCAGTAAGAATCCAGCATTCAAAATAAATGAACAAAATAAAATAGAATAAATACATACATAAATAAATAAAAATCAGACGATCAAGAGGGGCCTTACATTTGTAAAGCTCCCCTTGGCAAAGTAAATCTGTTCAGCACAACACAGCATTCAGGTCATCATTCTGCTTGCTATGATGCTGGACAGGACACGTTCAAAAAAAAAAAGAAAAAAAAAAGACTTGGGGGTCAGTCAAACTTCAGATTTTAATTAGATACTTGGACCACTTTTGTTATTTCATAGTAACATTAATATCTAACGTGAGAGACTGTTCTCTAAGCAAAGTAAGGTCATCCTACTTTCCTTCTGTGCTTGTTCCATGTTCCATATTAACAGTGCCAGCCCAAGCCTCCAAGGGGCCTTAAGCAAAACATGATGTTTAGGGCCCTCCATTAATGATGATAACTCTGATCAATGATCATTCACACACCTACTATAAACTTATTTCATTCATTTTCTTATTTGTTATAACGAATACACTCGTAAAACTCAATGTGAGACTTCCTGTTGTTAAATTGCAATCCACAGTCATAAAGGTCATTGAAGCAGACTTGCAAATGAGCAGGATGCACAGAGAAGCAATATATAAAACCTCAGAGAGCTGCACAGTAGCAGCAGTGCTGTGTACATCATCCTTTATTATACCAGGTATGTGTTCACCCACCTGCGGTTTATAATCTGAAATGGTAGTAAATTCACCTACAAGTGTGGCCTGGGATTGATTTACACTTAATATTTAAAGTGACTTATTTAACTGAGATATTGAATGTCATAGGCCCATTAAAAGTACCAAAATAAACCTTGAAATTACAAAGTCTGTTTTGTTGTTAACTTACCAGGTAAATCAGCTGAGGATATAGCAGGAACAGGAAGATACAGTGGGTGAGGGCGAGAGACAGTGGTCTTTAGAAGATGCAAGACACAACAACAACAAATGTTAGCCATGTTAGATGTTATATGAGACATAAAATATGAAAACCGTTACTCTAGTGTGTTTTTCCTTGCGAATGTATTCACATGATATGCATTTATCTAAAAACAAGTCTCTTGTCATGTGATTATGTATTATTGTAAATCTTAGTGACATAATTTGACCAGACATTACATGTATACAGGGACATTTTTTTCCTCACCTGATGCTTCAACAGTGCTCCTGGTGAAGTTTTATATAAATTATGGGCATATTCATGGAGAAAGACTGTTCATTTTACCCACATTAATGACTATGAAGCGTCTTTAATAACCTCAATTCACATCCCGTGAAATGGGCCTTAGTGACTTTTAAAAAGTTAATTTCATTTAGTGTCAAATATTTTTAAGCCAGGACAGACGGGTGTAAAGAAGATGTTATTGAACCAAACTACATAAAGCAGCTCGATAGAAAACGACTTATTATACAAATTATCTCTCATTTATCAAACATATCTAAAGTGGCAGAACCAGCACTTCTTTTTCTGTTAACTGTTGGTAATTATATTACATTTTAAAAGATATTTTTGCAATATTAAACTAACAGTTTCATATATTTAATATAAAGGAAATATTTAGGAATTCATCATAAATTTACAAATGTATTTTAACAGTCTTTTCATGTAATGAGACGAAACACTGCAGTTTTCTAAAAAAGGTCATTAGAGCATTTTTAAAAGGTTACAATTTTATTTGCAGAGTTAGTATTTATTCTTCTCTGCTGTACAAAGCAACATTAAGTTCTAAGATTTTAACAGCAGTTACAGGCCTTCACCAGATTCAAGGTCTCCAGTAGCTCACACACATTACATGTAAGGGAAACAAGCCCTGGTAGAAGAACCAGGATAAGGTGCATAAAAAACAACAGATGGTGCGAGTAGGATAGAAAAACAAAACAAAGAAAAACAACAACTTATTGATACAGGACAACCACAAAAATAGAAATACAAAAAAGCATGCAGAAGGAGTGCTTGAATTGCACAGTTGGAACTTAACACTTAAGTTTTTATACTAGTTGGATAAGCTACAAATGAGTCTGGTGTGACTGGATTATGCATTATGAAAGCTGTTGTAAACTTGTCACTGGTAGACACAATATATCATCAACACCAACTGAGCTACATGATTAGGGGGAAAAAAGCCTTATACATGGTATTAAAAGGTTCCTAAAAATGATTTAATACTTTGCACTGTGGGGTGCTACCAGTCAACACATGACACACTATAAGAATAAATTAATATATTTTAAATAAATCAATCAGAAAGCCCTTGTAGTCATTGCCACAGTGCTACTCCCATTGTTGCAACTGAAAATATTAAAAGAAAACACAGAAAATGCAATAATCAAACAAAATAAATCTAAGCTACATATATAGATATAGACATATATAGATATATAGATATCTACAGTATATGTATATGTGTGTGTGTATACTGTATATATGAGTTGCTGTGGGTCACATGAATGGGTTTAAGTGTATTACATTCATGTAATGTTGCATGAGAGCATAGATTATTCAATTCAATTCAATTCAATTCAATTCAATTTTATTTGTATAGTGCATATTTACAACAACAAGTCATCTCATAGCGCTTAACAAAGGCAGAAACAGAAACACCCAACAATCCAAAACATTTGGATTCCCTATAAGCTTCAGCAGTCCGAAAGCAGTCCACAACAGTGGGAAGGAACCGAAAACCCCCACAGGGGAAAAAAAACCTCAGACTAATAACTAACATATTTGCATATTTATTTATTGTTTAAATATCTGGTATTTACACTGTTATTTAAATCCTAGAATCCAGTGTTTTGCTTTTTTTTTTCTTTTTCTCACTAAAATGGAATCAGACTGAACTTTTCCTGTTTTCGGTCAGGATTAGCACAATTATTTTTATTTGCTAAACGCCAGAAGAAAGAGATTTTTTTGTTACTTTCTTCAAAGTCAGAAGTTTACATACATTTCCTTAGTATTTGTTAGCGTTGCCTTTAAACTGTATGACTTGGGTCAAATGTTTTGGGATTCCTTCCACAAGCTTCTCACAATAGTTTGCTGGGATTCTGGCCCATTCCTCCTGACAGAACTGGTCAAATCTGACAGTATGCCTAGGATCATTGTCCATTTGGACAAGCTTTAACGTCCTGGCTGATGTCTTGAGATGTTGCTTAAATATTTCCACATCATGTTCTTTCCTCATGATGCCATCTATTTAGTGAAGTGCACCAGTCCTTCCTGCAGCAAAACACCTCCACAACATGATGCTTCCACCCCCGTACTTCACAGTTAGAATGATGTTCTCAGGCTTCAAGCTTCCCCCTTTTTCCTCCAAACGTAACAATGGTCATTATGACCAAACAGTTCAGTTTTAGGTTCATCAGACCACAGGACATGTCTCCACAAATGAAGGTCTTTGTCCCTGTGTTCATTTACAAACTGTAATCTGGCTTTTTATGTTGCTTTTGGAGTAATGTCTTCTTCCTCTCTGAGTATCCTTTCAGCCCATGTCGGTACAGGACTGGTTTCATTGTGGATAATGACTCTCTGACCAGCTTCAGCAGCATCTTCACAAGGTCTTTAGCTTTTGTTCTGGGGTTGACACATGTTTCACATCAAAACACTTCATCTCTCTTGGGGCCGCCGATATTGCTCAACTGGTTGAGCTGGCGACCCATGTACAGGGGCTATAGTCCCCAATGCAGCAGCCATGGGTTTGAATCCCGCTCTTGGCCCTTTGCTGCAAGTCCTTCCCCCATTCTTCTCCCCCACTTTCCTGTCTCTCTCTTCACTTTCCTATATAATAAAGGCAAAAAGGCCAAAAAGTTAACTTAAAAAAACAACAACAACAAAAAACACTTCATCTCTGGGACACAGAACCCGTCTCCTTCCTGAGCAGTATGATGGCTGGACATTCCCATGGTGTTTATACTTGAGTATAATTGTCTGAACCGATGAACGTGGAACCTTCAGGCATCTGGAAACTGTACCCAAGGATGAACCAGACTGGTGGAGGTCCACAATTCTCTTCCTGATATCTTGGCTGATTTCTTTAGATTTTCCATGTTGTCACCAAAGGAAGCAGTGTGTTTGAGGTGTGCCTTAAAATACATCCACAGGTGTGCTTCCAGTTAACTCAGATGTTGTCAGTTAACCAATCAAAAGCTTCCAAAGCCATGACATCATCATCTGGACTTTCCCAAATGGTTTGTAGGCATAGTAATCTTACTGTATGTAAACTTATGACTTTGAAAAAAGTAATTAAAAAATTCTCTCTTTCATTATTCTGGCATTTAGCAAATGAAACCTTTTTTTTTTTTTGTAATCTAACTGACCTGAAAGAGAAAAAGTTTAGTCTGATTTAATGTCAGACAGTGAGAGGAAAAAAAAGGTTGTATGTGTTTTTATATAGTGTGTATAAACTTCTGGTTTTAACTGTATGTGTGGAAATTCAGATTTCTGTTGAAACTTTTAACTGTACAAAATACTTAAAAGGCACAGATTTAAATTTTAACCTGTAGATTTCCATATAGTGGAATGTTGTTTATTTCTAATAATTTTTAAAAGCAGTTGCAGTACAACATGTCGTCCTCTCTGGCTTGTCAGAACTCAGCCAAAATCTGCATCAAATGTTGACCATGTGACCTTCAAAAAAGTGCCAACTCATGCTTTCACCCTGATCACACATTAAACTGCAACTGCTTTGGGAACTTAAACAAAACTCTCCCAAACTACACTAACCAGCTTTTTCTGCATGTAAAGGTTGAAAAATGAGCAAAAGGTGCAGAAGTGTAGCTTAAACTTTGGCTGTTTTGTCAAAATGCTGCTCCAAAGTCAAAAATCAACTTTAATACTTCAGGGAAACAGTGATAAATATCTAGAAGTGCTACTCATGAAGTCATAAACTACACTAATAAAGATAAAGTGATAACAAGCGGACTTTGTGTTGGGATTGCAGACCAGTATTTCAATTCAAAGAAAGAATGTCTGAAACATTTAAGAGGAGAGTTGATGTCAAGAGCAGGAATATCTTGAACAGCACAAAAAAGAAAAGAAAATGCACATAAAGTCTGAATTCTGCTGTGTAATCACTTTTAAAGCTACTTTTCTCAAAGTCAGAAGTTTACATACATTTCCTTAGTATTTGGTAGCATTGCCTTTAAACTGTATGACTCGGGTCAAATGTTTTCCTTCCACAAGCTTCTCACAATAGTTTGATGAATTCTGGTCCATTCCTCCAACAGAACTGGTGGAACTGAGTCATACAATACATTTCGTACCTCTTGTGGTTTATTTGAGTGAAAGTGGGGCCTTTTTTTTTTTACTTCTTTGTGTGCACTTTTATCTGCCATGGCAATAGTTTAAACTGAGTTTAAAAACTGAGACAGCAGTTGATGCAAGGTAACATGTTAGATATTATGGAACTATTGCCATTTATGTAGAATTGATTTTTGTTGTAAATGTTGTTGTATGGTCGTTATGTGTCTGTGCTTAAACTGCTGTTGATAAAGAATTTATGGTCATGACTCTCCAGCCTGGCTCCCTCCCTTCTCCCTCCTCTCTCTGTGTCTCTCTCTCTCAACCTTCCTACCAACATTTTATTTGTCCACGCAAATCTCTTTTTATTTTTTTTATTTTTACAAGTGTGCTTTGTATTTGGAAACAAGCAAGGAATGATGTCGGAATCTGGATACAGTTACCTTTAACCAGTCTAGCTCCATAGTTCAAGTAGCGGTTACATCACTAAACTGCCACTGTATGATGAGAAGATAAGAAAAGTCAAACCAGGCATACATACAGTCAGTCAGACAGGAACAGGCTGAGAAGGACGTCTGTGCAAGTTTCAGTCT